AGAGGAGGAGATCCCGGCGGGGGCGGCCTGGAAGCGTGAGGGGGATCGCCTGGTAAACTGGCGGGTAAATGCGGTGCTGGTCCGTGCGAAGCGACTCGCCTTTGGGAAAGCAGCGGTATCGGCGATAATGAGGTGTAATTTAGCATTTGGGGCGCTGGAGAGGGCTGCCAGGCTGTCAGGGCGGTAATGGCAAAAAGACGGGGATCGTGAGGGAAGCTGTGAAAACAAAAAGGAATTGTAAAGTCAGGCTAAACAGATTCTTATTCTTAAAGAGGGGGAAGGCTGAGGAGGTCTTGGGTGGGCATCTGTAAGGTCATGAATGAATTGAAAAAAACTCATGGAGTGATTCTTCACGTCCGCAGTGTGGAACTGGGAGGTACTTACTTATCAAATATACAAATAAAGAGAGATGCTTTTTCATAAACACAATGGCAAAGCATTTCAACTCACCGCCATAGGCTTGCAGGTCAAAGATATGTAAGTAAGTTCAAAGAAGGACTAGAGAATGATTCCTGAGCACGTTGACTGGGACGTGAGCTCCGGATTCATAGACCTCCTAATAGCGGACTCCTGGCAGAGTAGACGGGGCTTTCCACGGCCGTGCTCTGTCCTTTCCCTCTTCCCCGGGCACCTGTACGCACGGCCACCGTCTCCGTCCCGTCTTCGCTGTGTCCAGCCCGACCCAGGGCAGCAGCCCCGATGCGCAGAGCACTGGGGCTGCCGGCCGTGGGGATGCCCGTGGCCTCCCAGCTGCAGGCCCCGAAAGCCAAGGCCTCTCCGGCTAACCTTTTTGACTGGTACTAGTGTAAACCTGCTACAGCTTCGGTGAGAGGAGTTACTCTGCAAAAATAAAACAAGAGATTAATAAAATTCATTTCAGCAAATCGGCTTCTGTTTACAAGTGTAATGCCATTCTGGGAAACTTCTCTGGCTCTTATTTGTTATACTTTCACATGTAATGGTGTTTTCAAAGTCGTGTCCTTTCTTTCTGTTTAAGCAAACAGAAATTTAGTGGAAAAAAACCCTGTTCTCATCATGCTTTCTTGTTCTGCCTAAACATCATCTTTGAGCAAATGTATTTCTGAAAAGATTTTTTTCCTTTTCCCCTCCCCCATAATTCAAACTGCATTATGAGCCATGTCCCAAAAATATAAAATAGCATTTTATGTGACTTAGCATTTCGCTAAATCTAGAGCTTTCTTTTCCCTATGTAAGGCTTAGTTTTAGCTTGGAAAATAAGTCAGTTTGTGGTTTAAATCACCTACAGTGGGGTAACTGGCTTGGCGGACAAGGGAGAGCAGTGGATGTTGCTTATCAGGGGAGGAGAT